TAGCACTTCGATCCTATTTAATGCTCTTTTTTATTTCAAAAGTTGTAAATAACTGAAGAAGGTCTCTGACCGAAACGTTTTTTATTAAAATTTTTTATATTTTTTACGTCAGAAGCTGTCCATCCTCGCAATTTTTTAAACTTTCTATAATATATATATATATCTGTTTTACCGATGCTAAAACTTGTGGTATTCACTTGTTGGTCCGCAATATATATATATATGTAAAGCCGGCACCATGGTAATGGGAAAGCGCGCCCCTAGGGGTCCAGAAATGGAAAAAGAAGGAATCGGTGCCGGAGCCGTCGTGGGCATTTGTTTCCTACTGGTGTTGATGATCGGTATCGCTGGTTGGTGTGTGTATGCTTACCGGTACCCTACTTCTAAGTCTGGATATATATATATATAGGTAAAGATCGTCTTTCGATCTTGTGTTTTTTTTTAACACCATTGGATATATATATATATGCAGGGAGATCACATGGTTTTTTAGGGGGAACGGGGATGATATCAGTATATATATATATATTATGAAGCAAGGGGAGGGCATAGAAAATTGACTACCAACTAACTTCTATATATATATATATGGGGATCGCAAGAATGTTACAGAGCCTTATGAAGAATCAGGAAAATTATATATATATATATCCAAAATCCTCCCCACCTCCCCCCCCGAAAAAAATGAATGGTCCCTTAGTGTAAGGTGAATGAAGAACTCGCAAGGTTCTGTATTCTCATCACTTTTCAAAGGGATGTTACATCACCACAGGAAGTTGTAGTGAACTTGGTTGCAGCCATTCCTTCATCCTGAGGGACCATATATATATATATTAGAAATCGACTGACGGTCCCCCGTGGGCCTCTGAGGATGCTATTGGATATATATATATATATCTCATTTCCCATGATTCTTTGTAGGCCACACGCCGTCCTCGGGAGCTATTCAAGAAAAGGTCTGATGAAGGAAACACGGGTCATGCAGCGCCTTCTGATGTAAAGCATATATATATATATGATATTCGAGTATATTTCACCCGCTCAGATTACGGCAGG